AAAATGATGCAATTATATTTTTCATCCTTCATACTGACAACAACTAAAACATTTAACATGGAGTACAGGCAACCTAATGAGGGGAAAGGTGCACTATAAGTAAGACTTAATTAATGTAACCCTTCTCAAAGGCAATTTGAAAATGTATGTCAAATTTCAAAAGGCACCTAGTCCCGGATGAGGTGTCCACACCCAAGCAGAGCCACGAGGGCATTCCTGTAGAGGGGGAACACTGTGTGGGTGGTGTGTCAGAGCCTGAACAGGGTGAAGAAGTCATACAATACTGAGTGAGGAAGGGAGAGGATGGCCTGACATAGAATGTTGAAGCCCAAGTGAGATAAGGAGGTCAACTGTGGGTGGAGGGGGTAACAAAGACTGGTTAGAAAAGAGTATGACCAAAAAGACAATATATTTATGATAACAAAGCCAGGCTTCTCACTGTTGGGGAAGGGTATTACAAATATGGGGAAAAAAATAGAATAAACCCTGTGATGAACAGATATTGGTGCTATGTGAACTCATGACTTTACACACACGTAAAAGTGTATATATATACACACACACTTATTATTTCCTAGTTCCTTCCACTCAGATGGTCCCAAATGCAATTAGCACAACTGGAGTTAAGAACTTGCCTTCTAACTATCATTCTCCATGAAAAATAATGCCCTTGGAGAAATGCCTGATTCCAGAACTGGAGTAGGGAAAAGTACAAGACCAGCTTGTAATACTTTCTTGTGCCAGAATGTTAGGAAATACACAAAAGAATGATGGTAACATATCAAAAGGTCACAAAAGATAGCCTGAAGAGCTTCTCAATGTTCAAATATGGGACAATTTGAGGATCTAAGTAAATAACAGCAATAAATAATAACATTGAATGAGAATCCTTCAATCCACATGGATATAAATAAGCAAATGAACAAAATGAAAGTCTAAGCCCTGGCTGGCACAGCTCAGTGGATTGAGTGCAGGCTAAGAACTGAAGTATCGCAGGTTCGATTCCCAGTCAGGGTACATGCCAGGGTTGCAGGCCACGGCCCCCAGCAACCACACATTCATGTTTCTCTCTCTCTCTCTCTAAAAATAAATAAATCTTAAAAAAAATGAAAGTCTGATGCTGAATGGAGTACTATACAAGGGGGGACCGCCAAAAACCAGAATTATCTTCTGGAGGGCAGGCAGACCCCTTGTAATACAGCTTCCCTCACTAGGTGAGTGTTCTAGGAGCCCATCTGTACCAGTGTACCAGCTGGCATTGTTATGAGAGGCTGTGTTCAGCTTCAGCAAATTTTTTGAAGACTCTTTCAATGCATCTGTCCATTTCGTGATGGGTGATTTACAAATGTACCTGCCCACACTGCGCTGAGTGTTCACCAGTTTTTGACCAAAAGGCCCCTTGTATCTAGCCCCAAGTGACTCACTTTTTTGGTTTCCCCAGATGAAAAAAGTCCTCGAAGGAAAACGTTTTGCCAATGTGGAAGAGGGAAAACAAAAGCAGCAGAAGCACTAAAATACACCAGAATCAACAAGTTCAAAAACTGTTTTTAGTAGTGAAAAAAGTGTCTCGATAGGTGTATTGCATCAAATGGAGAGTAATCTGAAGGTGACTGAAGTTTAAACATGTAAGAATAAGTACACACTTTTTCGCCCTGGCTGGCATAGCTCAGTGGATTGAGCGCGGGCTGCGAACCAAAGGATCGCAGGTTCGATTCCCAGTCAGGGCACATGCCTAGGTTGCAGGCCACGGCCCCCAGCAACAGCACATTCATGTTTCTCTCTCTCCCACCCTTCCCTCTCTAAAAATAAATAAATAAAATCTTTAAAAAAGAATTGCCAGCCAGAATAAATTTTAAGGTTAAAAAAAAAGAGAGTAAGTACACACTTTTTTATAAATAAATTCTGGGGGTGTTTTTGGGTCTCCCCCACGTATGTACATGATTTCAAAATCCCTCTTTACAAAATACCTATTAATTATGAAGGGAAAATGAGTTAATCTAACAACGGAAAACTCTCAGACACTACCTTAATAAAGTGATCAAAGTGATCATTATCATTAATGTTACAAATGAAAATCATGTTCTTCCTGACAGGATGTAATAAGACATAGCACCATGACCATGATATTCCTGCCAACGTGCAGAACCTGAATCTAATTATGTAGAAACAATGAGAAAAATCAAAGTTAAGGTACACTCTATAAAATAACTGGCCTATAAAATTCAAAAATGTCAAAATCACAAAAGACAAACTGATAAGTGCTCTAGAATGAAGACTAAAGGGACATGACAATGAATATAGAATCCATGATTCTGAGTCAAGATATTATTGAGACAACTGGAGAAAATCTGAGATTTGTGGATTAGAAGACAATAATGTAACAGTGTACTAATTGCCAATTTTGGTGTTTGTACTGTGATTATGTCTCTCTAGGAAATTCATATTAAAATATTAAAGGGTGATGTGCATCAGGCTGGCAACTTAACTCTAAAATGGTTCAGGAGAAAAAGGTTGTTTGTACTTTCAATTACTCTGTAAGTTTGCAATCATTTCAAAGTAAGAAAATTACACTAAAAAATAAAAACACACCTGCCAATTTGATTTGGCAAATTCTCCCCTAAGAGTTTATCTGATAGTAAGCACAAAAGCTAAATAGATTTAACATGCATACAATGGACTAGTAGTGCATCACTGTTAAAAAGCATGAGGTAGGCTTTTATATTAATGCAAACACATGTCTAAGATATAAAATATAAGAAGAGACTAGTATATATAATATAGCCCTCTGCGTGTACATAAAAATTACATACAAAGACACATAAAATTTTATATATGTGTGTATGTATATGTACATATATATTCTGGATGGACATTTAGCTTTGTTACTTATCAGAGCAGTTTTATTAGTATATATTGATTTAATCTTAGACTAATTTTGTATCCAACAAAATCTTAGTAATTCAAATTAACATGAAAGGGAAAACTATCTGAATTATAAACCCAAGAAACATACAGAAACCTGAACAAAACAGAGTAATTTCAAATGTTATTTCTCATTCTAAATAGAAAGTTTCCTGAATGAAGCAGGTTCTACACATTCAAATCTGAAGATAACCAATGTTCTACAAGGACCAATAAATGGTGAACTACTTAAGGCTAATAAACCAGTTTGTTATAAAGGCCTTTGTCTTCACACAAAAAAATTCTCTGCTTTACCTCTTGGCTTTAAATGAGTTTTACTATGTAACTATGAACATTTTAAACAAATTGCTGCTCACAGCATAAACTGAGAACAAGAATAAATTACACATTCTGCAAAAGCTGGTAAGAAGAAAAGCTGAGGAGAAAAATCATATGTATCATCGGGTACACACTTATTTCTAGATACTTTTTAAGCAGTCAATTTTCAACTACTTAAACTACAGATTCATTCATTCATTCATTCAATAAGCATTCACTGACCACCTACATGTGGAAGTGCCAGGCACTTCCCTAAGTGTTACTAAGAAAACTTGGGCTGGGGACTAACCACTTAGTGGCAAGTTTTTTTTAAATCTAAGCCTCAGTTTCCTCAGCATTGTGGTGACAATTAGACTATGTAATGTCAATAGTAATGTAAACAAAGTGCCTAACACTGTACCTTGTATGTGATAATGAATAAATGCTATTTTGAAGTGGAGTCAGAAGTGGATCCTGCCCTTAAGCAGCCAGTTTTCTACTGCATAGTTCAAAATTGGAGGATCACACACCAACTTCCAAGTGAGGTAAAGAAAACACGGCTGACAGATAACTCTACTATCAAAACAGAAAACCAACAATCCCCACAATATACAATGAATCTCAGAAATCAAAAGAAATGTGCTTGTTAGTTTGAGTTTATGTAATATGCACACTAATGTCTACTTCATTTTTTTTAAAAAGGGTATATTATAAATACAAAGAACAAGTGTTCCAGCTGTGTGGTTTTATGACATAATAGAATCATGATGGTTACACCTTAGAACAATTTTAGTGATGCAAATAATTGCTTAATTTAACAAATTTGTACACCATTAATCACAATTCTTTCTACCACCTTCAAAAAGACCACCCAATAGTAATCTCCTTTTCTTAAGAGATATTTATCTTAGGTATAACATTTAGCCAATAAAGCAAGTAACGGTGAAAAATACTAAGTAGCCACAACGATCTAACAAATAAAGAGAACCAAATCTAACAAAATCTAACAAACAGATAAAGAGTTTAAGAACTCTGGTGTCAACTGGGCCAGCTGCCCATCAATTGAAGCCAGTTACGTGACACCGGGAAGTTTGTTCACTGTTCCAAGCTTCAGTTTATCTGAGAAATGGTAACATCGGTACCTACGTGCTGGATTTGTAAAAATGAATTAGCTCCTCTTTGTAACCATAAAGCTAATAAAAATAGAGAAGTTTTAGCGTCTTATAAATCCTTAAACGTATGTTAGTTTAAAGTGAAGTAATAAAAAGTGAGTGAGGAACAATACAACAATAATGTGTATTAAGCACCAATACCTGACCCTCCCATCGTGTTCAACAGGCTTCATTTGTGAAGTCCTAACAGTAAGCAGCCCTGGCCAAATCAGAAACAATTTTGGAAGAACTAAAGGCCAAGGAAGGCTGCTGCACCAAAAGAAAATAAAGGGAAAAGAGGTTACGTAGTCACGAACGAGGTAACCGGGACGAAGAGTGGAAGTACGAATCCCCCCCCAACCCTGGTACAGGGAGTAGGGGCCCCTGGGGCCCGTGGCTCCTCCCAAAGAGGAAGCAGAAGGCACTCTGCCTCACCCGCGAGGTCCACCGGGGCACTCCGAACCCGAAGCCGGTAGCATGGAGGGTCGCACTCGTAGAGCCTCCAAAGCCGGCCGAGGGGTCCAAAGTCCCCGAGGGCGCCTCTGGGACCCGCCCCGGCTGCCGCGTCTCCTTCAACAGGAGGCCTGAGTCACCATCCGCGCGGCCGGAGGCGGAGGCCCAGCCGCCTACCTTCCGCGGGGAACTCCTCGAACTCGTCGTCCTCCTCCAGGAGACCCAGGTCTACCGGCTGCTTCTTCTCTGACATCGTAACTCTCCGCGCCCGAAACCTTTCAGTCCAGGAGGAGAGTCGGGGCCAGTCGCCCTCACCACAGTCGGTATCGCCGCTGCCGCCTCCGAGGCCGCTCTGCCATAGAGACGCCAGAGGAGAGCGGCCGGAGCGGCGCGAGGAATGCTGGGATACTGGAGGTCCGCCCAGCGCTTCCTGCGGGCTTAGCCGTTGTAAAGAGTTGGAAAAGTTTTGTTGTGCTTCCGAGGTCTTGTCCGGAGTCTCTGAATTGAGCAACTGGACTTTGGAGTAGGTTTCCTAGACTGGAAAAGAGTCATAATGTGTAGAAAAATTAAAACTTCAGGGATGACGTGGCCACTGAGATTCATTAAGGCCCGTTAAATGAATTCATTTAGGCCAGGCCCTAAAATAAACATAGATTAGCTACAGCCTTAAACCAATTCTCTAAGCATGGTATTAAATATCTCCACATCACAGAAAATTCATATTCAGAAGTAGCCAAAGTCACAGATTTCTTTTTTCTTTTTTTTAAGATTTAATTTATTTTTAGAGAGGGAAGGGAGGGAGAAAGAAACATCAATGTGCGGTTGCTGGGGGTCATGGCCTGCAACCCAGGCATGTACCCTGACTGGGAATCGAACATGAGACACTTTGGTTCTCAGCCCGCACTCAAACCACTGAGCTACGCCAGCCAGGCAAATACAGATTTCTTCACCTTACTTTCATCTCCAGGCTTTTCTGCTCCGTGTTCCTCCATCTTGCAGCTCCGCCGTGGTAAATGCCCTTTAAAATGGAGTGTGCTTGTAATATTTTATGGTGTTCAAAATACATCATTTTGAATTCTTAAAATATCTAATATCATTTGGAATGTAGTTGTGAACTATATAAAACTGTGAGATGTATACATATTATAGTTGAATGTGTGATATAATTAACTGTAAATTAATCATTGTGAATTTTTTTAAATCCTCACCCGAGGATAGGTTTATCAATTTCAGAGAGAAGGACAGAGAGAGCAAGCGAGACATCAATGAGAGAGAGAAACATGGATCAGGTGTCTCCCCTAAGGACCTTACTGGGGATTGAACTTGCAACCTTTTGGTGCATGGGAGGAAGCTCCAGTCAACTGAGCCACTTGGCCAGGGAATAACTGTAAATTTTCTTATGTGAATGGGTGTATGTGTTTAAATTCCGTTTCTTCAACATTGGTTTATACACATACCAGGCACCGTGTTGGAAAGTCAAACATGTAGAGACAAGATCCTTCCCCTCAAGGAGCTCATAGTCCAGGCAGAGACATGTAAATAGATAGATCACAATGACACAATAATACATTTGAATATTTATTTTAAAATAAAATTATCTGAGAATTGAGCACTGTATGGGAGTACAACAAATGAAGCAACTAAATAGAACACACAATTGGACCAGAATCTGGGAACCTACAATTAGATGTAACTTTTTTAAAAAATAAGATGATCCTTATAATACTATTTTGATTTGATGACTGAAAACATTAGCAGTCTTCAAAGGAATTTCCAAATATATGTAATTTGGTATGTTATATAAATAAGTACCAAATTATTGGAAGAAGAGAAAATGTGAGGGAAATCTAAAATTAGAAGTGAATGCAGACATTAGAAATGCAGAAAGTATGAAGTATATTTCTTCATATTAAAGTCCTTGTGGATGGCCAGCATTTGATAACCTTGATGGGGTATCTCAGAGTTTCATACTCTCTATCATGCCTTCTATCATACCTATCACATATACTACTGGGAACCACACACCAAGTTGAAACTTTGTGAAGGCACTTTGATATAGACAGAGAAGAATAGAAAACAAATCACAGGTCTGACCAGCGATTTTGTACAGAGAGAACCATTTTGCCCAAGGCCAAGTTTATAGAGACAGTAAGATTAGTGGCTGCCAGGAGATGGTACTGACTGCTAATTGATCTAGGGTTTCTTTGTGAGGTGATAAAAATACTCTAATATTGGTAGTGATGATGACTGAAGATAGAAATGGCAGATAGTGACGATGGTCACAAAACACAATGAATACACTTAACACCACCAAAATGTACTCTTCAAACTGATGAGTTTTATGTTATGTGAAATATACCTTTATTTTTTAAATGTTATAAAAATTTTGGCCCAGAAGCAAGAATCCAAAATCCTACTTCCTGGACCTATTATTTGACTTAGTTGATATATGATGACATTTTATCAATTCTTAGTTTAAAAAACAATCAGTAGCAATATAGTGATTTTCTCCCTAAAACTGAATGTATTCATTTAAAGGAATAATTGAGAAATAACCTTATGTCAAGTGCCTAGTTTAAACACTTTATTAATTTGCCCTGGCTGGCGTGGCTCAGTGGATTGAGTGCCAGCCCATGAACCAAAGGGTCGCTGGTTTGATCCCCAGTTAGGGCACGTGCCTAGGTTGTGGGCCAGGTCCCCAGTAGGGGGTGCATGAGAGGTAACCACACATTGATGTTTCTCTCCCTCTGTAAAAATAAAATCTTTTTAAAATATTTTATTAATTCATTAAATCCAGAATGCTGGAACTACTGGGTAACTTCTCATTTCAGTCATCACGGCACATGGCGCAATGAGCAGCTTCTCATTTTAATGGTCACGACACAGAGAAAACCTTTGAAAATGATGGCATTAAAGTGGAAAAAGCATTAGAGGCATAGGTAAATTACACATATAAAAATACATATTTGATGGACCAGGATAAAAATCCATGCTGAGTTCCTACTGAACGTGGATTTTTGGCAAATTACTTAGTTCCTCTACAGTATATTTTAGTTACTTGCAGAGTTACAGTGAAGATCAAATGAGATTATATAATGTACATAGTTTATGAGGACTGTCTGGAAAAAGTCCAGCCATTGTTAATATGACAAGAGAGGTTTGCATGACATCAATGTTATCTGGCAGCCAAAGAGAGTGGCCTGGAGTATGCATGCATGAACAATGACTTTACTGTACTAGTCAGTGGGGGTGGTAGATACTACTGAGTGAGCATGTGTACTGTGTGGCTATCACATTCAAAATGAGTGAGCAAGTAGAGCAACAAACCTGCATCAAATTTTGCGTTAAGCTCGAACATTCCTCTGTGGAAACTATTCAGATGATTCAGAAGGACACAGCTATGGGAAACTGGTGATTGACAGCTTGATCACAACAATGTGCCTGCTCATGCATCACGTCTCATACAGAGGTTTTTGGTGAAACATCAAATCACCCAGGTGACTCAGCCCCCTACAGCCCAGATTTGGTGCCTTGCAACTCTTGGCTTTTCCCCAAAACTAAAATCATCTTTGAAAGGGAAGAGATTTCACACTGTCAATGAGATTCAGGAAAATACCATGGGGCAGCTGATGGCAGTTGGGAGAACTGTGTGAGATCCCAAGGTGCCTACTTTGAAGAGGACAAGGGGTCATTGTCCTATGTACAGTGTTTCTTGTATCTTGTATCTTTTTCAATAAATGTCTTTATTTTTCATGTTACATAACTGGATACCTTCTAGACAGACCTTGTATGCCTGGCATGTAATAAGTTATTAACATGTTAGCTATTCTAACCTATAAGACTTAATTTTTAAAATATCAGATCTTGCATACTAATTCTAAAAGTCTCTAAATGTGGATTTTGTTTCTTAGATATCTTGGTGATACTTTGTGAGGAAGTCAGCCCCTCCACAAGTTAATGATAATATAAATAACAGTAACTAACATGCATTTAGTACTTACTTTGTATCAGGCACTGTGTCAAGTCTTTCTGTGTATTTACTTATTGAATTCTCCTCACAATAGCTCTATTAAGTGAGGTTTTTAAGTCTGTTTTATACTTGAGTGAACTGAGACACAGAGAGGTTGTAATGTGGCAGAAGTCACAGCACTAAGGCACGATGGAGCTATTATACCCTGGGTCTTCTTAAAGACAGGAAACAAACCATCTCAATGTGTGGAAAGGCAGATATTAACACATGAATCCCCAGAATCATTTCTAAACATATACACATTTGGGAAAATGGCAAAACACATAAATGTAGACATGAAGGAGAAAATAAAATAAAGGAGAAAATAGAACCTTGGGGTTGACCTAGTTATCTATAGCTAGGATCCCTCTGCAACTCCAGAGAGAAGCACTGTAGTCAAAACTATGCCCTTACTTAAATACATACCATAGCATGTTTATAATTGGTTGATTATATTTAACTTCATAGGAAATCAAGTTAATCAGCAGGTTTTATAGTAGATTATTCCCTCTGTCTCAGGCAAACTCTTTTTCCCCCTAAAAGTTCCATTTCAGATCAACATGGTCTTAGTTAAATCACATATAACCAGAATCCTTATGTTTCCTATGGAGTAACCATTCAGTAAGTAGGCAGAATGGATCATACAAGGGTGAAATTCCTGTATCTATCTCTATCCAGGAAGAAATGGTGAGGGGCCATAAAATGGCCCATATCTGGAGGAAGAACCGATTTCAAAGGCATCTTCACTTTGACTTAAGGAGTACACAGCTAATTACCCAGCCATGAAAAAGTGAGGATGCAAATCCACGATGTCTTTTCAAAGGAGGTAAAAAGTTTAGGCTCTACTTATGTCCTTCCATGATCAGGTTATTTCACTTAACATAATGCTCTGTGGGTTCATTCATGTTGTTGAATAGCACAGAATTTTCTTTTTAAAGGCTGAACAATATTCCATCATATGTATATTACACATTTTCTTTGTTCATTCAGGTTATTTCCATATCTTGGCTATTTTGAATAATACTGCAATGAACACAGGTGTGCAAATACCTCTACAAGATCCTATCTTCAATTCTTATGGATAAATGCCCAGACGTGGGATTGCTGGGTCACATAGTCATTCAAGTGGTATTTTTTGAGACACTTTTGGGCTGTTTTCCATACTGGCTACACTATTTTGCATTCCCAACAATATATAAGGGTTACAGCTTCTCCTCTTCCTTGCCAATGCATGTTACCTTTGGGGTTTTTGTTTTGTTTTCTTATAACAGCCATCCTGATAGATGTGAGGTGATATCTCATTGTGGTTTGATTTGCATTTCCTTGATTATTTCCGATGTTGAGTATCTTTCACATATATG